TACACATCTCTTTCATCGTGGCGGTATTGTGAGAGTTGGAGCAAGACCTATGTATGTCATGAGGTGCAATGGGAGCATCAAAGTTATGGAATTTCGACTAAATTGATCAGAGAATGTTATTGTGGCCCTGTGAATAAAGTGGTGCGAGTGTGAATTCAACTAATGTATGCAGTCATGTTCTGGTGCATCGTGTGGTGATTGATACAGTGTTCGCATGTTAGAAATAGGCCTGGCGGAGAATTCCGGATGTTGGAATTGAGCTCTAAGGCTTATTTGCTTAAGTGAAAAAGGATATCTTCAGGTTGATCAAGCTAAACCGCCCAGCTGAGTTGTGGTAGCCCGGGTAGGTGCTCGAAGTGTCAAACAGTGATTTCAGACAACTCCAGTGCAGTTCTTAGCACGTTCGAGGACGAACGTATGTTTAAGTGGGAGAGAATGTAACGACCCGACCGGTTATTTTGAGCTCTAGCGCGTCGTTCAGCAGTCTGAGGCCATGCGCAACTTCATTTCAAGTATTATGACTTGTACGCGTGGTCGGAATTGAATTTCGTATTGGAAAGAGAACTCTCATTTCGAAAGCTTTAAGTTGAAAGAATTGACTAAGATTTGGATTTTCGATTAAACGACCTCGGAATCGAGATCTGAAGGTTCCAGCAAGTTTGTATGATGATTTCGAACTTGGGCGTATGCCCGGATCGGGTTTTGGATGACCCGGGAGCGTTTTGGCGCCTATTGTGGAAGTTAGCATTTTGGAAGAAATTTTATGAGTTTGGATTGAAGCACATTTCAGTGTTACCGATGTCCGTTTGGAATTCCGAGTCAGGGAGTAGCTCCGTATGGTGATTATGGAGTTGGGAGCGCGATCGGAAGTGAATTCGGAGGTCCGTAGGTCATTTTGAAGTCATTTGGCTAAAGATAGAAAATTGAAGGTTTTTGAGAAGTTTGACCGGAAGTGAACTTTTTGATATCGGGGTCAGAATCCGATTTCGAAGGTTGGAGTAGGTCCGTAATGTCAAATATGACCTGTGTGCAAAATTTGGGGTCAATCGGACGTGATTTGATAGGTTTAAACATCGAGAGTAGAAGTTTGAAGTTCTAAAGTTCATAAAGCTAGATTGGAGGTCGATTCATGATTTTAGCGTTGTTTGATATGATTTGAGGCCTCGAGCGAGTCCGTAATGTGTTTTGGGACTGGTTGGTATGATTGCTTGGGGTCCCGGGGGCTTCAGGTGGATTTCGGATGGTTAACGGATCAAATTCGGAATTTGAAGAAGGGCTGAAGCAACTGGTATCTGGTGTAACCACACCTGCGAGGTTTTGGCCGCAGGTGCGGAGCCGCAGAAGCGGCCAAATAGTCGCAGATGCGGATTTGGCAAAAAGGAGATGGGACCGCAGATGCGGTCGTTTGGCCACAGAAGCGGAATCGCATCTGCGGGACTAGAAGTGCAGAAGCGGAAAAAGGGAGCTTGGGGAAAAACCGCAGAATCGGTGGATTGGTTCGCACCTGCGGAACCGCAAAAGCGGTAAGGTGACCGCAGGTGCGGAAAGTGCTGGAGGCAGAGAGATATTTTAAAAATCGGGATTTGGCCATTTTCTCTTATATTTTCTTGGCTTGGGCGATTTTTGGGAGAGCTTCAAGTGGGATTTTCATTATCAATGATAAGGTAAGCTAATCTCATCCATCTTGAGTTAAATACATCGATTATGTATAGATTTTAGCATGTAAATTGGTAGAAATTTGGGGTTTTTGGTAGAAAGACCTAAAATTTATATTCTTGGAATTTAACCACGATTTTGGGTATGGAATTAAGAGAAAATTATATATTTGAGTTCGTGACATCATGGGTAAACTTTATCTTCGAAAAATTTAGGAATCCGGGCATGTGGGCCCGAGAGCAATTTTGTCAACTTTTCGATCGGGGTAAGAAATTATTATAAATTAGATTGTAATGAGTAATTGAACATATATTAATGGATTTGCATAATTATTGGCTAGTTTTGGAGCATTGTGCATCGGTTCGAGTCTTCGGAAGAGCGTAAAATGCCGGTTATGGATCTTCGGAGCGAGGTGAGTCTCCTTTCTAACCTTGTAAGAGGGAATTGTCCCCATAGGTGAGTTAATTGATTATGTGCTCCTATTTGTGGGGGCTACGTACACATGAGGTGACGAGGGTCCGTGCATAGCTACTATTATGCAATTGTCCGGGTAGTCTAGGACCCAAAAGCATGCTATACGTGGATTAACTGTAAACTTATTGACAGCTTGAATTACTTAAATTACATCGAATTAGTAAATGAATTTCTAAAAGGATTAAACTTCATTTTCTTAAATTATTAAAAGAGAATTGGCTTTTATTTGGATAAATGTTCCCCGATAAATTCTTAATTGGCTGTTTGAGCATGTATTTCTATGTGTACCTGCGTCACATGTAGGATTCGCGAGCAGGGTATTTGTTTATTTATGTTGACCGCGTCGCAGGTATGATGCACGAGCAGGGTAATAGATGCATCTATGGTTCGCGCCATTCGACCCTCGGCAGTGCACATTTTACATTTCTGTTGGATCGGTCCGTACGACCTCGGCAGGATTTGTGCATGCTTGTAGTACTTGCCTTGAGACTTATTGATATTGATATTTGCTCTCCCGACTTGAGATATTTGAAAACTAATGGATTTTGAATCTGGAGACTTTTATATAAAAAGGAACTTTCACCTGTTCGTGACTTACTTGAAATTACTGTCATTCTTAATAAATCCATGATTATTCGCATTAATAATATATCATTATTTGGACCAATAGTACGTGTCGAAGTCGACTATCTCGTCTCTACTTCTTCGAGATTAGGCGGAATACTCATTGGGTACACGTGTTTTCGTACTCATACTACACTTCTGTGCATTTTTGTTGCACATGCACATGCGTCTCTAGTGGCCTACTGGGCGTGACAGCATGGTTGATACGGAGACTTAGGTGAGCTGCACTTCTCGAGGTGACCCGCAACCAGCAGAGTCTCTTTCAGATTATTATATTTATTTCAAGTCCAATATTGTATTCCGGACGGTTGTTGTACTACATTATTTCTTAGAAATTGTTCATGCACTTGTGACACCGGGTTATGGGATGTCTTTGGGTTTATTCAGGAAATTTTAAGAGTTGTTAAACGTTTCATTATTTATTCAGAGGAATTTGCTGTGTATTGTTTTAAACGTATAAAAGAAGTGTTTTCGGAAAATATTTAAAAACGAGAATCTAATTAAGTATTTCGGTTGGCTTGCCTGACAGCGGTGTCCGAAGCCATCACGATTCTTAGTGAATTTTGGGTCATGACAATACTACTATTACATAATATAGATGCATAAAGAGAAAAATCAAAAAATAGTGTACCACATATTAATATAAACTTGTATTATATGATACCAAACTGGTATATATGTGTACCATTTTGGTATATAGTATAAATTCGTCTCATTCACTAGTTCAACGTAATTTCAACCAAAATTTCACTAACTCTACTGTAAAATCTCCATCAAATTGTCCCAAGCTTTAGCGACAAACCCTAGTTAACATTTCAAACAAACCCCAAGTAGCTCATATCAGATCAACTACAAACTCAACAAACTCATCATATGAGTTTCAAGTTTCAAAGTCCTTCAATAATGAATTTGATTTTTTTCTAATAATAGATCTCCAAATATTAACTTTACCCAAATCTTCTAAACAACTCTCTAAACAAACCTCAACAAAATTGTATAAAATATTAGCAAATTATCGAAAACCAATTTGCGCTTTTCAAGTTTTCTCAAACCCCAATAACATTGTTTTGAGCTCTCTTCTTTTATATCTTCTTGAATCAGTATGTAACTTTAGCTGTTGAATTTTCAGATTATAACTTTTAGATCTATTCAAATAATAAATTAATTAATTCAAAAAATTATAGCAAATAATAGCAACAAAGAAAAGGAGAAGTTGATAAAACAAGTGCCTTTTAGAGTAATGTAAGAAACAACACATATAGGAACAAAGTTTCATCTAACTAAATCATGCTAACCCGAGTTAAATTAGTAGAATCTCCTTTCTCGTGTGACATCTTTAGCACATTGGCAAGTAATTTGAAGTTCAGATTAGGAGGAACGAACCAAGAGGTTTAATTGATGGTTGGGTAATTATTTTTAGAAAAATGGGTATAAATAGAAATAATTTTACAATGGGTAGGAAACAGGTAATAATTTTGGTGTTTTTGGGCATTTAGCACAGTTTTCTCTTTTTAATCCGTGGGTTGAAACTTTTCAAAAATAACCAGATTTACAACTGGTCGTTCAAAAATAGCCCAGTTTCAAAAGTAATCGAAATTTAGCCATTTTTCATATAAAGATAAATCTGAGCGAAAACACTGTTCAAAACCCAAAAAATACGTCAGTATATTATACTGGAGTTCCAACATAAGTACACTAGAACTCCAACATAATATACTGGAGTTCCAGCAAGTATAATTGTCCAGTATAATATACTGGAGTTTGGAGCACCGGTGCTCCAGTCTCCAATATATTATACTGGAGTCAGCAAAGTATACCGGTCCAACATAATATGCTGGAGTTCATATACAAGTGCACCGAACTCCAGTATATTATGCTGGACCGGTCTCTGTTGTAACAAAATAGTGACTATTTTTCATTGACTTCATAAACGCTGACTAATTTTGAATGACCAATCCGAAAATTGACTGTACCATGCTATTTTTACGAAGTTTCTACGTGTCCTTTAAAATAGGACAAATCCAGAACTTTACCTAAAACCAAGGATAAATTGGGTCGAAAAGTATTTAACTCAAACACATTTCCATAATAAATCATAGTAAAGGAGTATTTTAACTGAAAAATTGATATGTTATAAATTTTTTAAGGCGGAATACATACGGAGACATATAAAGTTGACACCATTTTTTATTTAAATACTTATTGAACACCTAAACACACTTTAGGTATCTCCGCCATTTCTTAAAGTAACTGGCCGAACCGAATGGGCATTATCGTCATTTGGAAATGCATTACTTCTCCTGCATTTCTCGAGGGTTTAGGGTTTCTGATTCATTTCCTTTGCTTAGAATCTTCTTTGGTTCTTGATTTTCGTTTCAGTTAGTATCACCAGGAGACTGAGGCTCCTACTTATTTGAAGAACACCTTCCTCTGAGTCTATCCAAGTCCATAATCTCTCTCCCAGGTACATTCCTAAATCCGCCCTGAGGAGTACGGACATTCCTATGACATCACTATATACATTGATGCTTTGTGCTTTAAAACCTAAAAGTAATGCCCTTACATAGGTAGATATACTCGCATGTTTTCTGTAGACTGTTAGGCCCAATATCCATTTTCTTAGACCCCAAAAAATTACTAATTCTGTTGGTTAAAAAGGTGCAAGTTACTGGGTGGGAAACAGATTGTAGCAAGTTCCCCCTGCTATTTATAAACACTTAATCTGGATTCTGGAGTTGGCAGATGGTTTAAACAGGACTCTCCGACCCAATAACACTGCTAACTGCTATTCTGAATGGAACTCTTTCCTATAAATACTAAGTTTAATAAAATAGATAGCTGAGTTGGTTGTTTTCTTCTAAATTTAGGTGTGAAGTAAAGTCAAAAAGACAACATTAGTAGCAGGAAAGAGCAATGTGGTGTATGCTTTTTGACAGAGTATGGACTTCTAATTTGCCCGCTAATATTACCAAGTTAAGTTTTTCCCGAGGGATTTGATTTCTACAAAAAATGGTTCTAAAAGCTAAATCTATATTCGAAAGAGTTAGAGTGTCTGTGCTTCAGCATGTTGGCATTCTGCCATCTCAAGTTTATAAATGTATGCTCAATTGTGCATTGCTTATATTTAAGCTCATTAAAACCTTAAATTTGTCACTCACCTACTGAAAGGATGTGAGACCATATCGTCGCTGGCCACAATTTATCAATTGCCAGGAGTAATAAATTTCAGGCCAGATGTGGTTTGGAAACTTCTGAGTCGAGGGTCTCTCGAAAACGGCCTTTCTACCTTCACAAGGTAGGGGCAAGGTCTGCGTACACACTACCCTCCCCAGACCCCACTTGTGAAATTACACTAGGATTGTTGTTGTTGTTGTTGTTGTATGTGGCTTGGAACCTGTGGGTGTTTATTTCAGGATACTGCAATACAGAAAAACATTCTGCCGGTCAATTTGATGCCTTTTTTTGTAGCTCATGCTGAAAGGTTTTACGTCGATCTTGTTTTCCTGTGTGTGTGTAAGAGGGGGGAGGGGGGGGGGGNGCTTTTTTCTCCAATGGTTATTTTAATCGCCTGAAATTGGCTTGCTTTTTGATGTGTAATTGTTATGTTTCTTTATTTTTCTAACCTTTTATTGCTATCAACAGAGTTAGAGATCCCTAGCTACATGTCAGACAAGAAGGAGGCTGGGGAGATCAACACACTTGTTGCAAGTAATGGAAGTACATCTAGGATCAGTGAAACTGGACTTCATCTTTATCCGGTCTCCATCAACGACTCAGGCGAAGGTTTACCATATGCTCCTGTAGATTGGCCAAATGCTGGTGATAAGTGGTGCTGGAAGGCGGGGAAAAGAGTTTCAGTTTCAGGCTACATTAAGGATAGATATCTGTATCTTCCAAAGCGTCTTCGGGCTCTCAAAGAAGGAAGGGGATATACTTTTCGAAGTAGGCCTTCAATTGAACAATATCTCCGATCTGAGTTTCCTAATGTAGATATCAACGGTTTCTTTGCCTCGTTCAGTTGGATGATTCCCGCAAAAGAGTCAGCAAGCTCAAAAGGTTAGCTTTCGATAAGGCTCTTTGGTATTTAGCATGCTGAGATCACTTGTTTCACCCTCTGGCCTCTACATATGTATCCTCCGCCTGGACTCTGTTCCATCTCTAATCTTTTTAAATAAATAAAAAATTAGATCCCCAAAGGAACTATCCATCTCTAATCTTCACTGTTCCTCTTTCACCAGTTCTTTATTTGATTCCTTTTCTATGTGAAGATTTGTAGAGTGCTTCTAGGAGCAAACTTTGTTGTGTATCTCATAATTAATAGGAATATTTAATATTTCTGAACCCGTCTGGCAAAGTATCTTCAAAGATCCATTGTTTCCATTAGTTACTTCAGAGATGAATTAGGTGTAGCTCATTAGCTCATTATATATATATATATATTCTGGTTAAAATTTGAGGTTGCTAATTTTCCTTTAGAATCATTAGGAGAGTTGCCATCCATATTAGGTCGAATTATGTACTGTAGGAAACAAAATATATAAAAAATGTAAGCATCTTTGGAATGGGCATTGTAAATGGAGAACTTTTACCATTTTTTAATTATCTAAAGATGAATAATGTTAATGTTCAAAAAGCAATAATTGGTCTTCTAATTATTAGGTATAGTCTGGATCTTTAGTTGGTTCACAGATTAGTTATGTGTTGAATATTGATACATGGGCACTGAATAGTCATGCAGTGTTTGTTCTGTCTTTTGCAAAGATTATGACACCAAAGATAGTTTTACTAATTGGCATAGCTCTATAACGTTTAAGTTTAGTTTTGTTAATTAAAATTTATAAAGAAGTTTTACTATATAACAGTTTCATGATTTTTATCTTTAATAAAATTATATCTATTTAAACAACAAACAACAACAACAACCCAGTAAAATCCCACAACCCAGTAAAATCCCACAAGTGGGGTCTGGGGAGGGTAGAGTGTACGCAAAACTTACACCTACCCCGGTGGGGTAGAGAGGCTGTTGCCGAAAGACCCAAAACTATATCTAATTAAGTAATAATTTAAGGGTGGTATAACAAATGCATCTTTTCTTATAACCAAATGAGCCCTTGAGACATCCTTGGTGCACTTTCTGATAACCTACTCGAAGATCCCACTAAGGTGAAACCTAACCTTAAATTCACGTGTGACATTTGAACAGCTTCATCCACACTAAAGTCTCATGTGATGCTAGTATCTTAATTTCATTTCCTATTCATTACAAATAGCTACTCAGTCCATACAGATTTTTATTTTGTTATTCCGTGTCAGTGAATCTTTTACTTTTTAAGTGAATTTCGTCAATGATTATAAAGTCTGTACACTGTTGGTGGATAGCATGTGTTCTTGTGTCTCTTTATAGTGCTTAAGAGGAGCAATTTGTTGACTTGATGTTTAATATGTTTTCCTTTTGTGTAAATATCAAATGTGGCTCAGATATGAAACAGAAGCTTATGTCTTCAGGGACGAAAATGGAGCCTTCACCGTCTGATTCTCCTTTAGGAACCATTACTTGTAAGGCTGGTAACAGAATCTGTAGCAGTTTAACAGCAGAAAATCCTTTACCGGAGACGATGTTTTGTGATATCTGTTGCACTGAGCCTGGTTTTTGCCGAGACTGTTGCTGTATCCTTTGTTGTAAAACTATCAGTTCGGATTATAATGGGTACAGTTACATTCGGTGTGAAGCAACAGCAGTTGATGGCTACATTTGCGGACACATTGCCCATGTAGACTGTGCTCTACGAGCTTACATGGCTGGGACAGTCGGAGGAAGCATCGATTTGGATGCAGAGTATTTCTGTCGATACTGTGATTCAAGGACGGATTTGGTTTCACATGCTTTGAAGCTTCTAAACATCTGCACGTCTGTTGCTTCTTCTGCTGACATTGAGAAGATTTTGAATGTTGGCATTTGTATTTTGCGTGGATCACAAAAAAGGAGTGCAAAACAGTTGTTGCATCGTATTGAATCAATCATGTCAAAGGTATAGATGATTGATGACTGGTTCTTTGTCTCCTGATGATATTACCTTTTTTACCTACTTCTGAGGTTTACAAGATACCAGAATGACCAATCTGATAATCGTATCAGCTTATAGATGGGGCCTGCGTTGAAGATGTATTTAAAAAGGAAAGCTCCGCTGATAGCACTGGTAACTCTCTGCCCTCTCGTATTCTTGTTTGAGTTTAATCTCTCACCTTTGACTTGAATATCTGTGAGCAAGACATTTCGTTATGTGCACATGTGCATTCTCGTGTTTGAACTATTATCTATTCCAGGGCTTGAACAAATATGTACATCTGTGCATTGCATATGAGTTTGTCTATATCAGTGCTTCCCACTGTTCTGAAGTACCAAAGAAATTTGTTGCAACTAAAGCACAATATGAACAGAAAATGATCAGCTTGGACTTACGGAAAATGATCAGTAAGGAAGACGAATTATTTGGCGTACAACGAGTGCATCAGATAAATGCTCTATTCAACTGCTCCTAACCAGAGGAAGGAGATTGATTGCATCCTTAAGAAAATGCATCAATCATTTAAAGGATCTTTTGTAGGGTGCTGTTTTGGTTATTGCAGCAATAACATCTTTTGGTGTAAAGAGTTCTGTCTACTGCTTTTTTTTTCATCTCTCCTTGAGCCGGGGGTCTATCGGAAACAGTCTCTCTATCGTGAAGGTAGGGGTAAGGTCTGCGTACACACTACCCTCCCCAGACCCCGCTTGTGGGATTATAATGGGTTTTTTTATTGTTGTTGTTTGTGGTGGTGTTAGTGTAAAGAGTTCTGTCCTATGACATAAATCTGAATCTCACATCCATCATCTGCCTCACCACATTAGTATATGTTAGTTCTCTGCTTGTAGCACTACTGCTCAGATTATTCTGGAATGTATCCTGTTAGGAACTGTCTAGATATTGCCGCCACTGTGCTTATGATTCCTATTGCTGGGCATGGAATGCTGCCATTTTTTTAATGATGTTGTCCATAGGTTTCATTTTACTTTCCGCCTTTAGGATTTTTCTGGAATCCTGGTTCAGTGCCAATTTGCTATTATTAATGAAATCCCGTGTTGGTTCGTTGCCTCCCTTGTTTCTAATGTCGTGTAGGCTTCTTTGGATCCTTTAAATGTTGGCAGCAGTTGGATAATTAGAGCTGTAATCTAGTACATTGCCAGTTAATTGCCATTTACCACTAATCTCAATCTAGCGATCTAATTTCTGTGGCCCTTTTTGTAGGTCCGTATTGGAGCAAACAAATGGCATAGTTAAGAGTGTAGAAACCGATATGTAGTTGCATTCTGTTTTTACTACATGGTCGAGGATTAGATTGATCAATTATGCAGGCTTTTAGGAACTGGCGACAATTCTAGCAAGATTAGGGAAGGTATTTTTGCTCAAAAAAACTACTACATGTGAATCAATTTACGTCCTTTATCACCATGTGATAAAACAGAATGACATATTAACTAGTGCATAATTTAACAGATAAAATAAAAATGTGTAAGGAACAGAATATGGTATTACTAATTTTTTTGATGAAACATCAAATGTGAAGAAGTTAATTTGCATTGGTGACTATTGTACAAGAACAAGGAGGCCACCCCTGGATCCATCCCAAAATTCGAATCAATTTCTTCACGGAGGGCAATGTTTCGTTTCAAGGACAGAGGATGGACTCTTATGGCCTGAATCTGTAAGGTTGAAAAGGTTCACAATTGCAATGGGACGAGATGGGGTCAAGTTCCTGTTATTAACCCCAGATGAGAAAATTGATAATTGCTTGTGACTGTTTTTTAGGGTTATAAGAGAGGTACTTGGAAATGAAAATAGTTTTCCAAAAAGAGGGAGAGATACAAACATATGGAACGTTTATACATGCTACTCCTGCAAGCAGGGATTAGGATTGAGGCGGTGTAGATTTCTTGGTGGGGAATAAAAGGAGAAAATAGAAGCGGGAGGGAGGGGAGAAACCGATAAGTTGGGGTTCAAAGTTGCGAAAATGGTCCCTGTTGTATGTGTTTTGAATTCATTTGGTCCCTCACCTAATAGAAAAGGTCGTTAATGTATCATAAAAGCTTATCACTTAGGTTTTTGTCCTAAAACGTGGCGGCACCCAGTACTAATATGTCAAAATGAACGGAACCTTCTTCGTGTGTGAGTACAAAAAAAAAAGCCACTTTGTTTTCTCTTCTTTTTTTGATTTTTATCTTCCTCTATATTGGGTATTTCTTCGCCTACAACTTCTTTTACTGTTGATCTATCTTTCACAATCTGAAACACCAATTGAGTGTAGCTTTTGGTTGTCTTTGATTTCAAAGAAGTTCTTTTGCTAGTATTGTTTGACCAAAAGATGCAACTTCTGCTTAAAATGGTTATATTTGTGTGATAACGGGTAAAACCTAGTTAATGCTAATATCTCTAGACGTGGGTTCTGACAATATGACTAACGTTTAGACAGATCTAGTAGAGAATCGACCGTAGCATTCAATATGGGTTTCGAAAAATATATGTAATAATGGAGGAGTAACTAGCAATAAATAACAATAAATGACATTTAAGTAAATAGGAGAAGAGATTCACCCAATAAACAATGAACTAGGTGATTGTTCCTCCTGACAATGATGAGTAGATCATAGAACATTCGAAATATTCTGGGATCTGGTGGAAAAGTGTGGAATAATATGAACAAGAATCTTGATAAAAAGGTAGTCATTGTATCTTTACAAGAGAGAGAGGGATGATCTTTTAGCAAAGTCTGCTCTTATCACTTGCCCTTATTCATTATTACATACCCCCAATAAACTCTAGGGGTACAAGTACAAAGAATATCCAATGGAATATTCTCTTTAGTATCCTACCCTAATAGACTAGCCATTACAGCTCTTTTTCCGGTGCTCGACATCGACCATCGTTTGCATCTCGACCATGGGCTTCGCCATCTCCTGGTCGACCTCGGCTGACTCTCTTCTCGATGTTACTTTCCCCAAGTATTGGGACAGATTTCGACCCATACAGTAATAAATAATGATATATCACAGTTTCAAGTGGATATGAATTTAATCTTCTTGAAGTGGAATTAAGGGGAAAAGAATAACGAGATTGACTTAAAAATTAGTTTTTGCTTCCTCTGTTAAAATTTAATGATCAAAGGCAACCTCTTGCTGGCAATCACAAGTAAAGCATAAAAGAGTGGTTCAGCAGAATTGGCAATAAAAAGTCAATGGAGAAATGCGGCAATTGGTGGTGGCATTGGTGGCTTGTTCGATGGATGAAGAAGCTGCTGGTTAATTAAGTTTTAACGGAAAGTTTTTACTTTTACAGTTAGTTATAGGTTTTAGGACCAAAACGTTATACTTTTTGCATAGATTAAGGACCTTTTTCATTAGGTGTTATATATCAGGGACCAAATGGATCCAAAGCACTTATATTAGGGGCCATTTTAATCATTTTCTCTTCAAAGTTTGCTGAAAAATTCAAATCGGAGTTGAACCAAATCCTTTAAATAAATTGATGTTCTTTTTTTGTTTGATTTAATTTAAATCTTAAAAAGTTAAGAATATTTGATTTATTATTTAAATATAATATTAACTAAATCAACAATTTTTATATAAAAATTTATAATAATTTATATGGATAATTTTAAATATTTTATATACTTTTTCATCATAGGTCTAAAGCTCATTTCTCAAAATACACTTAATCCGAAGATGCAAAATACGTCAAAGGTCCAATTGCTATTTCTTAAAAATAAAAATAGAAACACTCAAGTACTCAGCCCTATTACCCTAAGTCACTTTCCATCTCTCATACTCGATTTCTAATTCCTAATTATAGATTAGCTTTTTCCAGGTATTATAGATTACTTTACGGAAAAGGTCCAAAAATATCCTTGAACTATTCGAAATTGCTTAAAAATATCCTCCGTTTGTTTTTGGTGCCAAAAATATCCCTGCCATCTATGTTTTGGCCCAAAAATGTCCCTCAACCGTTAGTTTTGACATTAAAACTGACATGACAGTCCAACTCGGATAGAATTGCTTACATGGTCGTCCACCTAAGCAATCTATTTTTTCGAAAATTTTATTTTTCCAGAATTTTTTAATAAAATATAAAATCAACATTTATTATGAAAAAAGTCAAAAATTTCGAAAAAAATATTTATTTCGGAATTTTTTTAATTGAAATACAAAATCAACACATATTCCGAAAAAAGTCAAAAATTTACGAAAAAATTATTCTTGATTGGGGTTTATGATTTGATTAAAAAAACTCCATTGTTCTCTTTTATGAATTTCGGAGTTATGTCTTTGAATGCTTTTGAATCTAGTAATAGCGTAGTTATGTCTTGGAACATTATCCCCGTATAATTTCAACCTCATTCTTTAGCTCCAAAAAAAAATTAACACACAACGTTTACAAGAAAAAAAATTAAAACTTTATTTGTACAACAACAAAGACGTCAGTTTCTTAATTCTCGATATCTATAATCATAAATTCACAAAAGAGAACAATGTAGTTTTTTAATCAAATCATAAACCCTAATCAAGAATAATTTTTCGTAACTTTTTTACTTTTTCTCGGAATAAGTGTTGATTTTGTATTTTAATTAAAAAAATCCGAAATTAAAAAAAATTCGATTTTTTTTTACTTTTTTCAGAATAAATGTTGATTTTGTATTTTATTAAAAATTTCTGGTAAAAAAAATTCCGAAAAAATAATTTTCACATATGGATTGCTTAGGTGGACGACCATTTAAGCAATTCTAACCCAGTTGGACTGCCATGTCAGCTTCAATGACAAAACTAATAGTTTAGGGGCATTTTTGGGCCAAAACATAGACGGTAGGGATATTTTTGGCACAGAAAACAAACGGAGAATATTTTTGAGCTATTTCGAATAGTTTAAGGATATTTTTGGATCTTTTCCGATTACTTTATCATGCACTGTTAATGAAGACTTTCGGACTCTACTTTGTTTATCTCTAATACCTTCATTCAAACGAGGTAAAAATTGTGTGGGGTAGCCACTTTTTAAAGTGGTATTTACTTTTTATCCAGCATTTTTAATGCTTAGCAATAATAGCCATTAGTCTATTAAAATTAATGTGAAAAGACTGTGCTACCCTTTCTTCTATCTCTTTCATGTTAGGGAGAAGAACTGTGCCGGAAGGATTTTCTTCTTTAGTGTTTCTTCGCGAGACTTAGATTTAACACATTGTGAATTTTGGTTTTGTTGCATAGTAATAATTTTTATGGATATTTTTTTGCAGTGATGTAATTGAGTCCAAGAACAGGTTTTACAATGGAGCAGATAGCTGTAGAACGAAGAAGAACTCTTCAAGATTTTAGCAGGAAACTAGAACAGAAAACTTTAGAAAACAAACTTTCTAAGTTTTATTTATTTTTCTTTTATTTTTTTTAGTTGTTTCTTTTTGTTATTAGTTTTCTATTATGTAATTTGATATCAATCTTATATGTAAATTACATTTTCTTTTTTTGTGAAAAGATATAAATAACATTTGATTTTTACGTTATGGATCCTGAACTTACAGTTACAAGTTCAAAAGTTAAGGACACTTGGTCCTAAACTTAGAATTACAAGTTCAAAAGTTAAGGACACTTGGTCCTGAACTTAGATTAACAAGCTCAAAAGTTAAGGACAATAGGTCCTGAACTTAGCCTAAGAAGCACAAAAGTTAAGGACAATAGGTCCTGAACTTACACTTACAAGTTCAAAAGTTAAGGACAATAGTCTTTGAAGTCTTGAACTTAGACTAACATGCTCAAAAGTTAAGGATAATAGGTCCTGAACTTAGACTAACATGCTCAAAAGTTAAGGATAATAGGTCCTGAACTTAGGCTAAGAAGCCCAAAAGTTAAGGATAATAGGTCCTGAACTTAGACTAACAAGCTCAAAAGTTAAGGACACTTGGTCCTGAACTTACAGTTACAAGTTCAAAAGTTAAGGACATGTAGTCCTGAAGTTAAGTTCAAAAGTTAAGGACATGTAGTCCTGAAGTCCTGAGCTTAGAGTTCCAAGTTTAAAAGTTAAGGACATGTAGGCCTGAAGTTAAGTTCAAAAGTCAAGGACATGAGCAGAAGAGTATTTTCGTCCGAGCAGTTAAAGTTTATTAAAACAGTGGCTAAAGACTAAAGACATTTTAAACAATGGCTTAAAAGTAAATACATGTGTTATTAGTGGCTAACAGTGCACTTCCCCTTACTTTACAACAACTTTTCCTTCACTTACATGCTACGAACTCTTTCTTCCACATTCAACAGATCAAGGTCTAGTTCTTACTTTCCTAAAGAATTTCTCCACTATTTGCTTAGTGTAGGAATTCAAAGCTTTGTCATAATTCCATAGTAATTTTGCGATGGTTAGGGAGCAAATATCGCTTTTCGTTAAGCATTTCAAACGTGTTTCAAGGCTAAGCTATAGTGTTCTTCTTCATATTTTCCAACAATTTATACAAGCAGCTTGGAGGTAACGTCAGTTCCATCTAGAGATGTAAGATTGTGCGTCTCAAGGAGAGAGCAACATCAAAGAAAGGCACCCGAATAGTAGTAATACTTTTTGAAATAGCTGGTAAATTTACTACGTGCCCGGGGCATCTGTGAAAGCTACTTCTAATAAAGGTCAAACATCCATGTTCTCCTTGTGATGCATCCTATGCCTGCGATGAGACCTTTTCTGGTTACGGCTACGCATTCGAGGTGGTGTGCTAACTGTGTCAGGGCGATGAGTATTTTCAACACTTTTTGGAGGCCCGAATATGCAGTCAAATGGATCTTCAATCGCCTCCAGAACAACAGCTGCTGCACTTGTCTACATTTATAAGCAAACAGTCTAGTTAATATATAACTTTAAGAAAGTTGCATATTCAGCTATAACAAAAAGCAAGGACTGAACGAAAGGATTTTGCTTCCTCCCTTCTCATTTAGGCAAAAGAAAGCCCCAGTGAACACTACACAGTGCTATGGAGTGGGCAGCTTGCACGATTACATGATATATATTATCACTATACTATACTTTTTACTAATTTGTACGGTCGTGGAAATGAAATTTGATCATCTTGGCATAGCAAGTACATCCTTGTATAACAGATTTCCCACATCCCCAGTGTTTTCTGATTCTTATTCAAATTTATTTGAAGGCAGAGTTGCATACTCACATTAATTTGCTTGCGCTGTATATCAGTCTTCCTCAGATCAGTTTTCTCTGAATTGATTCTCTTACTGTAAGAGTCGTCATCACTTTTCATATGAGCAGAGGCTAAATCTTCCTTGTAGAGATTCCGAAAGCGCCACCTTGGTTTTGGCCGGTCTGTTGAATCATCGTCATAAACATTTTCACAAAAAAAATATTTGGAGACGCGTCGCAATACCTGTGGATGTTGCTGATACTTCTTCAACATTCTATCATGTATAAATATACATCAGTATGTGGTTAATGTTGGGGAAGAAAACAGAAAAAATTACCACATTAACACCTTAGCAAAGGAAGCAAAAGGATCAGGTAAATAAAATGTTAGCACTTAGGAGTTTTCTTCAAAGAAAGTTTCTACAACCTTTCCACAGGTCGAGTATATCCTTCTAGAAGTGAATCTTTTTTGCAATATTTTTTTCCAGAACCACAAAACTATGAAACTTGTCTTTGTTACGATGATATCAGTAGTTTCCCGGAATTTGCTTGGTCTCTCTGACACTTTCACCAGTCAAAAGCATGCAAAGTGTAGGACAGAACCCCCAACAATTAATCAGTCAATCAATTATGCCCCATTGACAATCAAAGCTGTAAGAATTATATGAATTCTCTGTTACACTCTGCTTAAATCTGGCCCAAATTGTTCAAAAATAATTACTTAATCTAACTATCTTCAATTTAACAATTGTTGAGCAACACCCACAGCCTCCTTCCTTCTACTTTTTTTCTCTTTAATTCTCATCAAGACGTATTCCCTCAATGATAGCAAACAGGTTTCACGTTAACAATTGTCTACTCTTGAGTTCATGCAAGTTGAACAAAAATAATGAGGAGAGATTCTCAGTCTGATGCATTGCAGAAAGTAGGGAAACAAATGGTTTTGTTTTCTAAGGTTACTAACTTAGCATGTATACTGAGCAAAAAACACTAGTGCTTTGCTAGAACTAATTCATAAATTATTGAACATGGAATAGAACCTATATACAAAAGAAAAGCATTTTTTTCTTGCAAATTCTTCAACAACCTCAGCGTAACTTAGGTATCATACTTTGTTAAGCAATCAGACAAGGGTTGAACTTTGTGCGTTAAACTAGAATTGAGTCCAAAACTGGGAGTAGGATAAACTCTTTGAAGAACTTTTTTGTGCAAAAAGTGGGTCATTTATTATCTTCTTAAGAATAAGATATTAAGGAAATTAAATAATGAATGGTATATTTTCAGTTTGGATAAGTTCCCAAATCTTTTAGAATCATAAGCGGGAAGTAGAGCAATTAATATAAGATGGAGTACAAGAATATAAGAGCCCAAGGTTATTTTTCTTCAGACTAAGTTCATGTGTACATGTGCCTGTGTAGCGCCTTAACAACTCAACTAATGTATCTTGCAAAAATCAAAAAGTTTCAAGTGGTCAATAACCTACATTTCTGCCAACTCGCTCTGCAGACGAGTCCCATGCTGAGAGAGAATATGTTCAGCTCTTGAATCCAAAAACTTGCCTACTCTTCTGACACCATAAAAGAAACCAACACCTGGAAGAAGGAAAGTTCAAAAGACTAAAGTGATAGAGTTATCAAAAGTAAACCAAAATGTTCTCTGTCTTGGTATAAAATTTGATATTTCTTCTATAAAAACTTTGAGCTCCATATGAGTATTTCGAACATTGTGTGTCATTACAAGAATGGTAATATACAGCTGAAGAAAGATTACAAATCTCCTAAACAGCAGTGACTTGCTGAATGTCAAGCAAGTGAGCACGTGACAGGCACGTGCATATTAGCTTGAAATACCAAAATAGCTTTTTCACCATTAAAATCCAATAATTAACAACTTTTGAGAAAAGGGCAGATATGAAACTGTAAACTTAAATTTGTCATCATAAAATTTACTGTATAATTTTATCAACATCCTTCGTTCAAACTACAAGATAATGTGAGGCAACAGAGAAACTTTGAATGACCTTCTTGATATTTAGGCATTTGAAATTGACTCCCTTCAGTTTTTACTCCCTTCTTGTCGAAAGGCATCCTAAAATACATCACTATCGACCAGATCCACAAATTACATGAACAGAAACCAGATAGGGGATCAAGGGTGACTAACATATACGTGGAAAAGGAAAACATGAAGAACAATCCCAGCCAATATGTTACCTGCTGTGAGGTTGATGCGCATTAGGTTATTCAGCCTTCTGGTCACTGCAAAGAAACCGATTGAGAGAACTTTATTAGATATTCTATTAAATATCAAAGAAAACAAGAAAAAAGAAAGGAAGCGTATAATTTTATGCAAGCAGAATGGATGCAATACAGAACACCACCTTTACGCGTGTCTGGATATGGCCGGTTTTCTCGTTTATGTAATAACCTAATTTCTTCTAGCCGATGGAGCACCTCTTCTAACCATTGCCCACTTATTCTGCAATGATCTTTCTAGGAGGGTATTTTACATATTTCTGCTAAATCTTTCTATTATTTAATAAGGCTAATACCGTTTTCAATGTGCTTCATCTTTTCAAAAAGTTCGAACCTTCAAATCCATTGCATTAATTCCACTTCCTACTCATAGTATACACCTTATGATCTCCTTCAAAACTAAATTTACAGAAAAGCTTCAGTGAAATTCCCATATTACTCCTTTCACCCCATTTTATATTATGTCATTTAGCATGTCCCAAATGATTGACAACACTCATCTAATAGCATTCAAAATTTATTAAGCTGTTCAATTAAAAACTTTAATGTTATATTTTCTCTATGAAACTAAATTTGACTAAAACTCTACTATTTTCCAGTCAAACACCATCATATTGACAATGTAATATAAGTCAGTGAGGAAATGTACCAAACCAAGTGGCAATGGAAGCACCGGTGGCACCAATTCCAAAATTTCTCACAGCGTCTTGCTGTAATGAATTAACTAGTTTAGCTTCGTCTCTTGTCAGAGGCTCCTACAAATATATACCATTACACAAAGTTCAATACACCAGCAAATAAAAACGCGATAAATTTGAAAAGAAAAAACACCCTGATTAACGGAAATAAAATTCCGAAAATTGAAAGAGAAAATACAATAATAGAATGGTAAATTACTACTACCTAATTAAACAGAGGGAAGAAAAAAGGATCAAATGTACAGCTACAAAAAGAAGTGGGAATTTAGGGAAAAGAATAAAGCCCATTTGAAATTAGTGGGAATGTACAGCTAAAGAAAAAAAAAAATACTCCAGTACCTTTCTGGAGGTGAGAATTTCTTGCAGTTCCAAAAGAGCTTCCGCCGCCATTATTCAGCTGTGCCCCGAATCATAGATCCTTTTGCAAAAGCGGCATATAGACGGTTTGTGATCAACAGCTAACACTATTTTTCTATAGGAAAAAAAGAAGGAAAAAGGAGGGTATGTTATAAATATAGTATATTATGGACGTTCATTTAGTACTCCGTTGTAAATAAGATTCTTGAAGAAGCTTATCCATATGTGACTCCATCGTAAATATATTTATTTATTTAGTACTCTATTGGAAATAAGCTTCCTGAAAAAAACTTATCACTTCGGTACCCGGTTATGGATAAATATTAACCCTGGTAGAAGATTATCCATACCGGGTATAATAAGCTTATCCTTTCGGTACCTAGTTATGGATAAATATTACCCCCGGTAGAAGATTATCCATACCGGGTATAATAAGCTTATCCTTTCAGTACCCAGTTATGGATAAACATTACCCCGATAGAAGATTATCCATATCGGGTATAATAAGCTATCCTTTCAGTACTCCGTTATGGATAAACATTGCTCTCAATAAAAGATTATCCATATCTGGTATAGTAGCAGCTTACATAGCAGCTTCATTTCTTCTATAAATAGAAGAGATTTCAGTTCATTATGTACATCAGTTTGAATTCGAATAATATAACAGTTTCTCTCTATACTTGTCTTTACTT